AATTAAAATTTATTGAACGTATTAATAATCATTCTTGGCGTATAAAAAAAGGTTTTGTACCTAATATGAATGTATGTAGATAAATTAAAACAAAAATATTTGTTTTTTTTTTTTTTAAAATCATTAAAATTTCTTATAGGTTGAAGGAATTTTTTATGTTAATAGTCACTTAGAAAAATTAATGTTTGAAGAACTTGAAAGTTCAACAAAATTTGGTGGTATAGGTGGATTTCTTCCTGGTATGAAACAAATTGGTAATGTTGCTGCATTACCTGGCATTGTTGGGGTATATAATTATTTTATAATTATATCAATTTTTTTTTTTAATTTATTTATTTAATAGAGATCTGTTGGTTTACCTGATGTTCATTCAGGTTATGGTTTTGCTATTGGTAATATGGCTGCATTTGATTATAATGATCCAAAAGCTATTGTATCTCCTGGTGGTGTTGGTTTTGATATAAATTGTGGTGTACGTCTTCTACGAACAAATCTTAGTGAAAAAGATGTACAACCAATGAAAGAACAATTAGCACAATCAATGTTTGATCATATACCAGTTGGTGTTGGATCAAAAGGTGTTATACCAATGAATGCAAAGTAAATTTTTCGAAAACGTTGGTTTTTTTTTTTGTTTTCATTATAAAAATATTAATTTAGAGATCTTGAAGAAGCACTTGAAATGGGTATGGATTGGTCATTACGTGAAGGTTATGCATGGGCAGAAGATAAAGAACATTGTGAAGAATATGGAAGAATGTTACAAGCTGATCCAACAAAAGTTACACAACGAGCAAAAAAACGTGGTTTACCACAGGTAATTAAAAGTAGTTAATTGATTTTTATATGAATGAATATTTCTTTAGTTAGGAACACTTGGTGCTGGTAATCATTATGCTGAAATTCAAATTGTTGATGAAATATATGATCGTTTTGCTGCTGGTAAAATGGGTATTGATTTTAAAGGACAAGTATGTGTTATGATACATTGTGGAAGCCGTGGTCTTGGACATCAAGTAGCAACTGGTAATAGAAAAAATATAATAATGATAAAATAAATTTAAAATAAATATTTTAGATGCTCTTGTTGCAATGGAAAAAGCAATGAAACGAGATCAAATTCAAACAAATGATCGACAATTAGCATGTGCATTAATTCATTCTGAAGAAGGACAAGATTATTTAAAAGCAATGTGTGCAGCTGCTAATTATGCATGGGTTAATCGTTCATCAATGACATTTCTTGCTCGACAAGTAAGATATATATATATATAAAATTGTTTTTTTTATTTATTTAAGATATATTTATCTTAGGCATTTGCTCGTTGTTTTAATACAACACCTGATGATCTTGATATGCATTTAATTTATGATGTATCACATAATATAGCTAAAGTTGAAGAACATATAATGAGTGATGGAAAACAAAAAACTTTATTAGTACATCGTAAAGGTGCTACAAGAGCATTTCCACCTCATCATCCATTAATTCCAGTTGATTATCAAATTACAGGACAACCTGTACTTATCGGAGGTAATGAATGAAATAATTATTTGATTGTTTTTTTTTTCTACTTGTAAAATTTAAGGTACAATGGGTACGTGTAGTTATGTTCTTACTGGTACTGAACAAGGTATGAAAGAAACATTTGGTTCAACATGTCATGGAGCAGTAAGTAATAAAACAAAAAAAGAATTTTATTATTTCTAGAAAATTTCTTTTTTTGTAGGGTCGAGCATTATCACGTGCTAAATCTCGACGAAATCTTAATTGGTATGAAGTATTAGATGAATTAAAAGAAAAAGGTATTGCTATTCGTGTAGCATCACCAAAACTTGTTCAAGAAGAGGTAAGAGAAATTTTTTTCTTGTTGCATTTGAATTTTTTTTTCTTTTCCTAGGCACCTGATTCTTATAAAAATGTAACTGATGTTGTTGAAACATGTCATGCAGCAGGTATTAGCAAATTATGTGTGAAATTGAGACCGGTAGCAGTGATTAAAGGATAGACAATTTTGTTTTTTTTTTATTAATATTATTGATAGTTAAACGACACACTATTGTATAACGATTGTTGTTTACTTGTTTTTCTGCTGTTATTGTTTTTCTTATTTTTATTGTTATTTAGGAGTTGTTTGAAGCGTTTTTTTTTTTTTTTCGTTCTTGAAATATATAATCAAGACTAAAGAACAAAACTAAGAATGTTATCTTTTATTTTCGATATTATGAAGAAACTCAAGATTTATCTTATAACGTATGATGATAATTTTTATATAGAAAAAAAAAATTTTTTTTAAAAGAAAGATATTGTTGGATTTTTATTTTATATTTGATAATTTATTAAGATGAACACAGAGTTATCATAATACATCTCATTGTTTTTTGTTTCTTAATAGACACCAAACGTTGTTTGGAGTGTCTATCATATTTACTTACAGAAAACTTCGAAATGTAAGTAAAGCAGAAGAAAAAAAAAACTGAAAATTTTAAGTTATGAAAAGGAGAAATCTTCTTAAACGCTAATATTTATTAAAGTAAATCGAGATAGGTCAAATGTTTTTTACTTATAACATGATTAAATTCAAGATACATCTTACGATATCAACACAATTACGGTCATATTAATACACGTTTGTGTCTATGAAGAATAGTTGAATATTCGTTGTATAATATGATGAGAGTACAATCTTCTAATGAATTATTAGAGTCTGTCGGGTTCGAAATTTTTCGATATGAATCGTATTCCAAATTTCAACGAAATATTTTTAGTCTCAATCTTCTTCAAGTTTTTGATTATTTGTATTCTGCTACTAATATACTCTACATACAATCTTATAGTAATCAAATCGTAATTAACTGTTAGTTTTCGATTATATGACTCGTTGGGCCGGTCTCGAACATGAATTTGAAGTTAGGACTAATTCAACAGGATCAATGTACCATACATTAAAGTAATATTACTGTAGATGCTTTTGGCTAATTTCCCTATTGGTGGATATATTTCAGTGACATTATGATAAGTCAGGACTAGATAATTTATTTTCCAGCAAAATTTTTTAATTTATTTCAAACATTATATCACAATACATATATTTGTTTATCAATGGTAGATACACTCTCCAGCAAAATATGATTTATTTCTATGGTTTTATCAAATTCACCTGTCTTAAACAGTAATTTTTCCAATTTTAATCTTTCAAATCTATCTACTAATCTCATCTTGTATTTTTCTTTATCTCACAGATTTGAAAAGCAGTATGTATTGGAAAATAACTTTGATTTTAAATTATATTCCTAATACTAAACTAGAATTCTATCGACAGATATTGAAATGAAACATCATGATTAATACTTCCTATCCTTACTTTCTTTTATCTTTTTAAAGTCATCATGAGATCTTCATTATTCTTGATAAATGATTATCTTTCCTGTTTAATGAATTTCATAAATAGATTCATTTGACATGGATGGTTTTTTCATTTTTTCGACTTGCATGTTGATGATTAATATTAACTTTTCTAATTATCTTTAACTTTTACTCTGTCGTTTTTCATGTCAGGTTTTCTTCTAAAATAACAAGAAAGATGATAAAAAAAAAGGTGAAATGTAAATATTAGATAGAGCACATCTGTATGCAGTTCTTTTTTCTCTGTTTGAATCACACACTTAGTGTTTTGATGAAACATTCCAACAAATATATGATGTGAAGATTTTTGTATGTTATTTAAAGATAAAAGTCTTATAGAATGGTGTAGTACTGCACGTGTTAGTGCCAAGAAAATTCTATATTATTTGTGGTACAGAATAACTAGTGATGTAAGGCGATGATGGTTAAAAGTTTTTGAGTATCATGTAAAAATTTCCTTAGGTTCAAGAGATTTTGAAATTAAAAAAATAATTCCAGTAGTGCTGATAGTCCCTCAGTTTGTTTGCTTATATCTCTACAACAATTCGAATTCTAGATGAACATGTAACAATGTTTTATCGTTCATTGATATCCAAGATTTATTCGTTTTACGAATGAAATGATGAACAAGAAAAAATATAGATTAAGATGAGATATGAAAAGCTCCAAATGGATGAATAATATTAGATCTTTCTTCCAGAATTATAATTATTGCTCGCCAATAGTTGTCTGTAATACGGTATATCCCAACAAATAGAATGAAGAGTATATTGACCTGAACTTTCGCGAGATAAGAATGATTTTTGAAGATTCAATATCTCGTGAATGAAACATTCTTTTGACACTGAAATTTTCAAAAAAAAAAATGCTAGTGACAAGTAGATATATCTATAGGCCAAGTTCAAGTCGAAAATTCGCCTAAAATGGCTATAACTCTGAAAGAAAGATTTAAGAGCATTTTCATATTTGACTTGGATCTACCTTATGCATAGAGTGCGAACTCAAAAAAAGATCAAAATAACAATTAATAATTATTGAATTACAATATGTTTATTAATGAATTATTTTCATCTAACTAATATTAAAATTTAAATACCATTCTAATCTTCAATCAATAACTATTGAAAGATTATTTTCGTGGTACAGTTACCTGATACAAAAATAATGTTTGTTAAATAAATGAAGTATGACATAAGAAAAAGAAAAACCTATCCTATCATGACTCTAATCAAAGAACATAACTAAGTTAAAGGTTAATATTTAAAAGAAATGCAAATTTTTAAATGTTATTTTACAAGAATAAATTAAATTTTAAACTATTTAAAATATATTCTTGTAAACATTTATATTATATATTTCGAACTGTAAATATTGTACTTATTCTTATCTTTTATTAAAGTGCACAACGTAGAATGAGATGACTTTGGACTGATATCATACTGACAAGACATAATTTACACTCTCATATCATATGTAATTGAAACAAAAAAAAAAAAACATTAACTTTTCATCATGACTCGGCGTTTATTATAAAGAATAAATAGGAGAGTTCATTGAATAAAATACGCATAACAAAATAAAAAAAAACAACAAAATGATCAATAACGAATATAATTCTCATAAACAATCACGTCATCCAGGTTTTACAATTGGTCGTAAATGGTATTTAAGTTTTACTGTTGTTGCTATTATTTTATCAATACTTAATATTATATTTGCCAGTGGTCAATCAATTGGTTTAGCATTATTTTTAGCAAGTTTTAATCGACTTACAGGAGTTTATTTTGTTCTGTTTTTTTGTTCACTTTCATTTACAATAGTATTTAGTATAATGTCATTATGGTTTGGATATAAACAACAAATAACACCTTTTATGAGATCATCTCGTTGGATAAAATATATGGTTTTAGTTGGTGTTTTTGATGCAGCTAATGGTTTTTTAATTGTATTTAGTTCACATGGTACTCGTGTACCACCAGCATTAACAGCAATTCTTGTACAATCAATTATTCCATTTACATTTATATTATCAAAATTTCTTCTACCAAAAAAATATCATTGGCGACATATATTAAGTGTATTTGTTGTACTTTTAGGTGTTACATTTAGTCTTATACCAACATTTAAACGAATTCATGATGGTACATCAAAAACAGAATTAAAAGATGGTTGGTATTGGCCATTTATATTTATATTAGGTTGTATACCAGCTGCTTTAATGAATATTGTACAAGAAAAATTACAAGTAAAATATACTCAACAAGCACGAGAAAATCAAGAACCAATAACAAGATTTTCTGTTATGTATTTTCAAGCTGTTGAATCAACATTTCAATTTGGTACAATTGCATTATGTTTTGCACTTGATTTAGTACCACGTTTTGGTACATCAAACGATATTCATACATTTTGGACATCATTTTCAAATGGATTTAGATGTTTTTTTAATGATAAAAGTCTTAGTGGTGGTCGTTGTAATGTTGCTGGAGGTACTGGAATTTTATTTATTGTTTCCTATTTAGGAACATATATAACTGGTACATTTCTTACTGATCATGTATCAGCTAATTGGTTATCAATTTTATCATCAATTTCACCATTAATAGCAACATCATTTTGGTTTATATTTCCTTCTATTAATAAATGGGCTGAAGTTGGAAAAATGGATAATTGGGATATTGGATTTAGTCTTGGTGCATTACCAATTATTTTAATTGGAATGTATTTCTATCGACGTGGAGGAACAGATAGAAAAACAGAAGAAGAAGATAATTGTTTTATGGATGAACTTCCTGTTGAACTATTTTGGTAGATTAATATCTTTTTTATTTACTTGTTTTCTTTTTTTTTTTTTTTATATAAAAATACAAATAATTGTATATAAAAATTATTAGATACTGTAATACAATTATTCATGATGTTGAAAATGATCAATTGTTTTATATGTCATTGTGTAAAAGGAAATAAAAAGACTTTTATTTTGATGTTATCTTGAAAGTTCTTCTGAAGAAACAGAAAACTTTGGAGATTTTAATAGTTTGATCATTTGAAAATAATATGCCTCTATTATAAATAAATATAATTAAAATACAAAATTGTTTTTATCCGTAAATGTGTCATTCATTTATAATCATCACAGTCATATTTATATTGTAAACTAAGTTCTTTCATTGTAGAGTAAATTCAGACAAGAAAATAAAATTGAACTGAATACTTGCAAAGATTACACTACAAATGACAATCGATATTCTGCATTGTGAACAATGAATTTTCGAGAGAGAATTCTCTTTGATGCTCTCTTTCAATTTCAATGATGTTCTAATAAAAACTTTAAAAAAAAATTTGGATTCTTCTTGAGATTTAATTAAGCTATTGAAATTTTAATATCTATTTTCTGGGTTTTTGGAAAACTTGTATTTTCAGAATTTGATCTGAAACTTTGCCTATATAGAGAATTCAACTAGACTAGTTTTTATAAAGAAAAACAAAACTCTTTGAATAAAGTTTCTTCGGTATATGAAACTTTCAAAAAGTACATGTAATACAATATTCATGTAAAAGAGGTCCTATCGTGAAAGTTTTATATATCGAAGAGACTTTATTGAAAACGTCCGAATTCTTTTTGGAAGCTAATGTGATTGAGTTCTCTATATAGGCAAAGTTTCAGATCAAATTTTGAAAATACAAGTTTTCCAAAAACCTAGAAAATAGACGTTAAAATTTCCATAGCTTAGTCAAATTTTAATAAGAACCCAAATTCTTTTAGAGTTTTTAGTGTCTATCGATGAGATCAATTGTAGAAGAAGTTTATCTTCAAAAGTCTATACTATGATTACTGTTATGAACACTCATTTTTAAGATCGGATGTTTTTTTTTTATTATTGTACATTTTCAGTAGTGAGTGTAACAATGCATTTATTAATAATGTGGAGATATAGTACTTGTGAGAGGGCAGTTTGAATCACGTCGGTTGTGTAAAATGCGCTGTAGAAGAAATTTAGGATATTGATCAAGCTCATTAGATAGAAACGAGATCGAAATCTTTGGATTTTCTTTTTTCGTATCATGATTTTTGAAACAATCTTATGTTGACGAATGATGTTGAATACATTATAAATAATCTTTAATCGAAAATGGATTTCGATATGCAGTAAGTCCTTTCGGAATCAAAAGATTATTTTCAAAATAAAAACTCTTTTGAAATATCAAATAAATGTGTTTTGTGAAAATTTAAAAGATCTGTAGACTTCTCTGAAAGAGTTTCATTTCTCTTTCTGAAACAAAAAAAAACTTTAATTCTGAGCAAACCTCATCAAAATATCCAAATTCGACGGCATTATGATAAGAAGACCGCTTTTCCGATATTTCTGACGAATGGTTCATCGAAAAATTTTGACACTTTCGACTAGGGTTGTTACTATCTATTTTTAAAGTCATTTTTTTCAGAAAAAAAAAAGATTCGATCTTTGTTTCTTTTAAAAGATAATTACCATAAAAAAAAATTCGCATTCATCTCTAAAAAGTATTTTTGCAGATTAACGGACTTTCAGTTGAATTATATGTTGCACGATCACTCGGCGTTTAGAAGAATGTTCACTCAACTCGATCTGTTCTCATCTCACGAATCGAAGTCGTCTGATATCATTATGAAACAAGATCTTTCGATAGACAATTCTTAAGCGTTAAAATTTGTCCTTCAATTACGATTAAAGACAAATATTTACTTGAAGTATCATGTTTCAACCAGTGAGATTTCACGCATGCACAGCTACTCTGAAGATGAAAAGTAATCGTTCTGCGAAAGAATCTAATACACGAATGATATCTACTATGAACATTTAAGCTTTTTGAAAAAGAGGAAAGTTGAGCGATCTACTGCAATCCTCCATCAGAGTGACCGTATATCTCTGTGAAGAATGGAAAACTAGTCGAAAATTGATCAAGACTGTCACGTTGTTGAACAAGTGATTATCTTGCACGCAAAGTACCTTTTAAAAAAACAAACAGCCCAATATGAAACTAAAATATTAGTACAATTCAAAGAGTCAATCTAAGATTCACTTTTAGGAAAGGATACGAATGCGAGTTGGAGCTAAATTTAGATTGAGATGTAATTGCCATGGAAATGGACATTTGTCAATATCTACGAGTAGTTCGAGCGTACGGTTTGTCCGTTCGTTTATCAATCGAATTAGTCGATGATCACAATCGATTGTAAGATTGACTATATCATTTTCAACAGCATCATGACCTTGTCCACCCACGCTTTGTCCATTGCGATAGACGAAATAATCACCATTATACCAGCCATAACATGACGGTGAACTGTAGGAATGTTCTTGCAAAGGACTCGATTTTGAGATAATGCCAAATAAGCTCCAGCCATTTAATTGTTCAATCTTGAAACATAATGTACGATGTCCAGTCGTATATTCATTTTTTCCACGCACTTCTGTATAATTATAAGGACCATCTTGCACGACGACAACTTTGCCACTTTCTTCAAATATAGTTTTACCCGATGTACGTTCAAACAGCTCGAATGTTTCGAAAACATCGACATGAATCTTGGTAATCAACGGTGCACAAGCGTCTCGAACTACAACCTTTGCTGGATTGATGATTTCTTCCTTTAATTGATTGAGTTTATCTATCCATTCACAAAGATCAGTCTCAATAAAATCAATATTTTGACGACCTTGACGCAGTTCATTTGTCAATTTCTCCAATTTGAGCTTTTTATAAGACAAATGCTCAGTTGTATGCTGAATTAATTCATTTCTAGTTTCGTCGGCTATTCGTTTGATTTTCGCAATTGATTCATGTTCCCATATGTCAATTTTTTTTATCAATTCATCTTGCAAAACTTTCATGTCTTGTTGCGGTTCGGTCAATTTTTGAGTCAGAATTTTTTGAACAAGTTCATGAGTCTCTTCTACTTGATCCAATTGCTTGATAATTTCTTCACGATGATTTGTTGTATGTTGCAAACAGAAATTTTTCGAACATCCATCACATTTAAAAACACCTCTTTCTTTGTTACATATCACGCAAATAGGTTTGTCGAAGATCGTCGCCATGCAATAATGATGAAGGTGAAAGGAAAAAGAAAAATAATAAGCAGTGCTCGACTCTTACTTTTCTTTTTCTTGTCAAAGTTACGTCGAGATTGAAAACAGTCAGTCTTTACTGCAAATAGAAAGCTACTCAAAGAAAAAAAAGAACACGTGGTTGCATATGAGTCATACAAAGCGTAGTCAAAGTAAGAGATGTCTGAAAGAAATTTTCATGTATATGTCCCGAGTGTGTGCTCGTATTTTACGGCAAGGATCAATAACGTTGATCATTCGGATTCGTTTTATTCGTCTCTTTCTTGCCAATGACCGAATCGATTCTGTTTAGCTAACTAGCAGTCCTATTGAATCGAATGAGAATAATTCGAACTAAATGCATAGAGAGAATGGTATACATCAGCAAAGTCAATGTAAATATCTATGAATGACAATCGACTTACTTATCAGTTAAAAAGCAAATTCATGCATGAGGCAATAACAAGCATTCATAAAAAGTTAAATATCGTAGGTGTAGAATTATGCTTGATTGACCCATCCTTTGATCGAAAGTAAAAATGTCGAAGACTGAAGTGGAAACTCCTGAATATTTTCTCGTATAGAAAATTTATAAAAACTCAAACAGCTAAATTCGAATCAACTATTTATTATTGAAAAAGAAACTAACTATGAGAGACAAGCAAAAATATTTCTATAACTCTTTTTTTTTCTACAATAAAAGGCAATCTATGTCGAGATCAAATGCTGTAATGAAAATCATTGAAGTATAACATTCTGTACATGTTTTTCTTCTAATTACTTTCATACAATTGATCAAATTCCATATATTTGAATGATTTCAATAAATACGAAAATTTATTCTATTATGATAATCTGCAACTAGGATGCGGATGGATGTTGTTGAAATTTCTAACCTAAATGGTTTATTCAATTTGATTTTTTTTTGACTTTCAAAATAAATTAGAAGTATACTGATCGTTTATTATTGAGATAAGGAGATGGATAATTAAAATAGATTGAAAAGAAAACAAACAAACAAACAAACCAGATTTAAAATAAGATGTCTCATATAAAGGATTTCTCCTCTCAGATAAAGTCAATGTTTTGTCAAATTTATCAATTTTATGATGAGCTGTAAGGATATTACATAGGTTTTTTTGAACTTCCATATTGAAAAAAAAAATAAGGTTTTTTAAAAACTTATTTTTCATTTTTCTTAAAATCTGTTTTTTCGAGTATACTGTTTGCGCGGGTAAACCATATTCAATAACGACTCAGTATAGAAGTGATAGTTTTTTACATATTTCATTTTTATCAGCGATTTTTTTGGCCATGGATTCAAGAAAAACACTTTAAAATTTAAAAACCCACCCACACCCTGTTTTTCTAATTCTGGCAAAGAAAAATTTTTTCAGTAAAATCGATATTTATGCAATACGCTTTATTTATCAAAAAAAAAAATGATAGTCAAATGTTAAAAATCATTTTGCCATAATAAGATATCATTCTAAAGAGTTCATATAGACATGTTCGCCTATTTCTCGGTGGTTATCGAGTAGCGTGGTACTTCATAGTCTTGTTGCTTCATGATGATTTGACGACTCTCTTTAACAGCTGCGCGTTTTTCAGCAATCATTGGATATGCGCTAACAGTATCGATCCAACGATAGATAGTTGACAATGAAGTCGATTCAGGATTGGATGTCAGGTTTTTTATTTGACTTTCGTAATTATTTTTCATCTTCTTCAGTTCATCACGCACAAAGTCATTGAGATAGTGCGGATCTTGTGTGGTACAAATCTCAGCCTCTTCATCAATCATCCGATTAAGGCCAGACAAGAACGAATTAGATTCTCTATTCTGAGTAGTATCCATCAAGTAACAAGTGAAGGAAGCACCACTAGTACACAGCTGTTTTAATATGTGAACCATGCCACTTCGATTGAGATCCGAAGGTTTGTGTAAAAATGTATGACGAACTTCATAATCGATTGGAAGGTGTTTGCTAGGAGAACATTTGCACACTTTACATGTATCTCGAAATTCGTGTGCATCGTCAATATTAATCCAAAGGTTGCCAAAGCAACGATGTTTATGTTTACAAGACAGACAAATAGCAGATGGACGTGAGAGAGCAATTGAACTTTCCTGAATGGATACTTTAGTAGATTCCATATTCCATAAAGCAAGGATTCGAAACATGTTTCTCATCATTTCTAACATAGGTCGAATCATTGAGCTGATTTCAATTTGAGCACGTCTGATCGATCGATATCCACTGTGCATACAGTATGATTTGAGATTTCTACGAATGAGTTCAAAGAATCGAGTTGATTCCTTCGCGGAATGATGCCAACTCGTTTCAAAATCATTTTTCTGATCATCATTGAATTCGATTAAATTTTGAATAGCGACTAGATAACGAAATGGTTCATTATCAAAACAGAAAGTGTTTTCTTTGTTAAAAGGGAAGTTGCCTAGTGGAAGCGATTCGAGCATTGACCTGAGTAGATATTCTGTATTTCCGGGAGCAAAGAATGTTGAACGAGTATTGGTAAAACAGAAGAGAAAATTGTCACGAGCGTTCTCACCTAGAAAATCGAACAATTGCATCAAACATGTTCGCAAGAAGTCATTCAATTGTGATGCATTCGATTTGAGAAGAAAACAGACGGCATTCAAATGAGTGAAATGATTTATGTAATCCAAGATATGCTTCACGTTTGCTTCGTCTTGCGAGATGCCACGACTGTCTCCGAAACCTGGTGTGTCAATGATACGTAACTTTGTTTGATTTCCATCAACATCATTAAGATGAAACACATAAGACTTGTAGTGTTGTGTAACTGAGTGACCAAGTTCATTGTGATTTTCATTGCTCGAACTTTCGATAAAGTCGAATTTTACAATTTGCTCATCCAATGTATCGTTAATACGTAGAGAGAAAGAGACAGGCATGAGAACAATCGGATTGCTCGATAAAGCCTGTTTGAGTGATTTGAAAGTGAGATAATTAACAAGCGCATTAATGAAGGTTGACTTGCCAACACCGCACTCGCCAAGAAGAAGAATATTGATGAAGTCCGAAGTTGATGACGGTCGTAGAGGAGCAGATTGGGTTAGTGTTTTTGATGGCGAGGACGAGTTAAGAGATGAATTGAAAATCACTGTTTCAGTCAATTCAAATGTACAATAGGAAAAGTCAACATATATGAGGCATAATTTTTCATTTTCTTGACGTTCTCGAATCAGTTGATTGCGAAGGTAATCCCATTGTGATGGATTCATGTTCTTCAAGAGGTCAGTGGAGCACAAATAACGTGGAGATGGTTTATACTGAGTTAATTTTTGTTCAATAATGGTTTGGTCATCACCATCTTGTATACCACAATCGGCCGCATTACAATATTCAAATTCTTGCCGTTGTAATTCATTAATCATATCTGCTTTTGCTTGCAAATGGCTAATGTACATATTCAAATCATCAATCTTATTTCGCCAGGTAATGTACGGTTCATTGCGAAATATTTGACCGATATCAACGTCTATCTCTTGACCACTACGTATCGTGATAATTAATGATTGAAGTCGTTGAATTACATCTTCATGATAGATTTTACCTTGTGAATATAGTTGATGTACCTCCAAGAGTTGCAAAGCAAGATGCTTTTGAAGAAATCTTCTTGTATTCTCATCTAGTCTCGAGCATGCCTGTTTTAATACAATCGAAGATTGAAGTAAATCGTTCTCGAAAATATCGCGAAATTCTGATTCTAGTGGAAAATATCGAGTAACATCTTCAGTATATTCAAGAAAGAACCATTTAATAGGAGTAAGACGATACTTTAATAGTTCACAATCCGTTGGATTCTTTTTGAGTTGATTTAAATTACGACAAAGATCAAGAAATTTTTCTATTTGGACTAATTTGGGAATATTTGAATATACTGTTGTAAAAAGAATTTGATCAAATAGTCGTTCTACATCTGAAGCTATTATCATATTTTCCAAACTATTTTGTAAATGATGTTGTATTTTTTCTAATGCAGTATCTATATCATTAACTAATTTATCATGTGATGGTAATTGAAGAATAACGACGATATCAATACCGAAACTTATTTCTGTAATCATGTGCGTTGCAGAATTATCGGGCATCGATGTTTTATTCCATTTTTCGATCTGATTTTGATCATTAAAAAGGTGCTCCTTGCGGTCTAAATAATGATAACGAAAACATCGAGTGTATTTATTGATCGAATAGGGATAATCGATGATTGATGATATTCCAATTTTTGGAACGAAGTTCACTAATGTACTCAATCGTAATTCATCTTCGATGCCAATCATTTGAGCAAGATTTGGACTTTTGTTCATATCATACTTTTGAACTTTACATAGCAGAGATCTGCTTCGTATGGTTGATGTTTTTATGGTGTTGATATCTAATGTTCCAAGTATTTGATCTCGCCATCCATCATATAATGAACCAACACGTCCAGAAATATCGATAGCTGTACGTGTTATAGTCTCTGTTAACGAATGCATGGATATCAAAAACCAAGAAATTATTAGTGTAAAACAGCTTTTTGTTGAATGAAAATTCAGCAGATAAATGTATACGTTTAATGAAATAAATTATTTGCCAGAAACCTATAACAAACATTTCTACTTAAGGAAGACTTTCATGAGATTATCGAGCATCGTATCATAAACCGAGATACCAATCAAAATTTAGTTTTTTTTCATTTCATATCCTCATCTTAATTCAAATATTGTAACATATTTGACTTCGTTGGTGAAAAGTTAGTCAGATTCTACTTTTGAGTACTTACGAGAATGTTTGAAGGATATCATCAATTAATAAAATTTTTCGTGTATAATACCCAAAGAAGGAGTATCGAAAGCTGAATAAAATTAACTATTCATATATTATATTTCAATGTATTGACTCAAAGTTATATGTCAAATACTGTCTATGACTGCTCATTTTTCAAGTAAGAAACACACAAATTTTTATCATACATAACTTATCACTTAGTCATTGTCAAGGACCCCACGCTGATTTTTATATATATGTTATGTATATTTTCCTCTTCTACAAAATGGTAAGAAAGATGTGGTTATAGATATTTTTTTTTTCTACACTCATATACTTCACGTCCACATTCCACCCGCAGTCTAATGTTAACTTCAGTTGACAATCAATGAGAAACAATATTTTGATACTGTTCTATACACAATCAAGTGCCTTGTCCTTAAGTGACTCAGCAACTCGATATGTCTTCACGATACATCATTATAAGGTAAAAATTTGAAATAAACCGCATTTTTTTTAGTTCGATCGCTTCTTACCTTGATAGACTACGTTCTGCTTTCTTGGTTGGCTTCTCTCAAGAATGTCAACGATGCTGTGTTGAGACCGACACAATGTTGTTTATACACGTGCATTTTGCATCATACCGCAAAATATAAATGAGAAAAAAAAACACTACACGTCTTGTTCTTTTCTCTCACATAAGGAACAAGTTTTATTCAAGGACACATGAGTAGGAGAGTTGTAAATTTGTTAACAACATATTTATCGAAATAAAACAACATTGTATTTTTTTTTGTATGTACTGCATAGTGATAGAAAAAATTTGATTAAAACCACGAAATAGATAGGATTTCGTACTGTTCAGATGGATCACTTTTGCCGAGATGATTTTAGAATTTTGAAAACAATCATTTGATAAAAAACAAAACCTTGACAACGTTTCCTCACACACTCTATTTGAGGTGAGAGCGTAGGAATGCGAAAACGATTATTTGTACATACATAATTTCAAAGTGACATTTAGAAAGAACGAATGAAAGCAGACCCATAACGACTGTCTATTCAAATGAAGTGAAGACAAAATAATCCACAAGCAAAAAAAAACATATTTCTCAATTTTTCAAAATTTTTCTTTCGAGACTTGAAAAGTAATGCCTCTTTGTTACGTCTGAGTGATACATAGGATATAGTTCAAAACAAAAACAATTGTGATAGCATGCGAGTTACATGATGTAAGGAGAGAGCGATCAACTTTTGTCAATATGAAGTGAACAATACAAATTTATTATGTTCTAAGTACAATATTCTGAAAGAAGCCGTGAATCATGTTTCAAATCTTTTCTTCGTTCATCAGGAAATATAAATCGAAGTCGGCTAGAATCGTTGATGAGCAGGATAGATTGTAGGAACAGGAAAAATTCAGCTATTAATTTGTCAAACATCGAGACTATTTTCTTATTTTATTATATTTCATTTGCAATTTCTCGAGACATATTCTTTAGCCAGTGGCAAATTTTTTCTTACAACTCTCAAATGAAACTAGACGTAGTGAAATACTTTTATTTGGAAGCCATTTATGCAATTAAGCTAGGCGCTGATAACACTCTTCCAGATGAAAAGTCGCCCATTGATATTTAATCAGATAACATTCTAAAAGTGCATTTAAAAAAAAAATCAAAAATAGTCGCCTTCATTGTAGCAAAAAAAAGTGTATTCTATTATCTACATGTTGTGATGGGATAAGAGTTTTTTGATTGACTTGTCATTAAAATAAGTTTCAATATTTCGATGTGTGGGTTTGGTTCTTAGACTGCTCGACCAGTGCTTTGATCTTGGAGGGTGTGAATGTGGACGGGAATGAAGAGAACGCCAAGACCCACACCCATACTATAAATTTGACTGAATAAGAATTTTTCTTCTGAAGACATTGAAAATACAATCAAAGATAATTATAATAAATGAATAATCAATTTTTTCTTCGTCATACTGATATTTCTCACATAAATGTACTAACTCAAGTTTCTCCAAAGACTTACTAGGAAACATTTGTGAAAGACCTTTCTATTCCTTATCCTATTCGTTCATTAGCTAGTCCAGAAATTCTTATTAACAAAATAATTGATCCAAAACGAGCTGTTTGGCTAATAGAAGATACAAGTAATAAAATTCAATCAATTATTTATTCAACATAATCAACGAAATCGTGAGTTCAGGTAACGGTTGATGAACATTAGTCGCAACAATCCATACAATTCTCTGTATACTCTAAGAACTTTATACTATCATTTTTCATGAAATGCCAAATGCATAAATTCTAACGTCTTTTTTTCATTATTTCACTTGAAATTGCTTCTAATTAATTTGATTGCAATAGAAAAAAAATACATATGTTAGTTAAGTGAATATCACTCATTAGTCATCAATAATCAAATCAAATCATTTTGTAAAACATGAAAAAGCAATCAAACTATATAAACACATAGTAAAACATTCTTTTTAAGAAATTTAAAAAGTCATTATTCTTCAAAAAAGAAATCTCTTGAAATAAAAGATAATGGCATGACTCTCTCTCTCTCTTTTACGCTATATTCCTAATATGTCTAGATGATAATATAATCATTAACATAAGACCTTGTGTCATCGAACACTCAGATTGAAAGTTAACTTTCGAATTTGTTAATTCACAATTCTTATAGGGTGTGGGTGTGGATGTGGGATGTGGATGTAGATCAAATAATATACCCACACCCACACACCCACACCCACACCTCACACACCCACACCCATCCACACCCACACCCCACCCATACTCACACTCAAACCCACACCCATTGAAGAATAGTCATGATATAACAAAGTCACATAACTTCATCTTTTCTTAAATATAAAACTCCAATGAACTTTACTGTAATCATCTTTATTTTGACCTAGAATTAATCGTTTAAAGTTCAAATATGTTACTACAATACTTATTTAATGCAGAAAAAAAATCAAATAAAAGAATGAATTTTCTTTCTATTAGTATTATATAAAACACTGCGAATAAAAGAAAAGTTTCTTATTCAAATTAAGTTTACGTTTGCAAAGCATCATAATCGAATTTATGACAATATAATAAAAAAGCAAATAAAAAAGCAAATATTTCAACAACACCTACAATAACACCACCGATAATAATATACTTCTTATATGCAGCTAATAAATCACATAAACGATCATAACATCCTTCGGAATAAGCATTAACACCTGTTATTGCACATGCGCTAGCTTCCGACATATTTGTTGGTAAGTCATTCCAATTTTTCGTTGCATTTAAAGGACAACAAGTAAAAGGAATAATTAAAGTTGTATCCGGTTGATATGGATTTACTCGATTCTCCTTTAGTTGTATTTAAATAATCAGTTTTATTAGCTGCACCACAACATTGTAAATTAAATTGAACAAAATCCCATGAAAATGGAATCGAATTAACAAATGTTGAATTAGTAATTAGTGTACCAACATAATATTTAGCATTTGATTCTTGAAGTTTAGAAACAAATTCTGTTTTAAAACGATTATGATAAATTATATAAATAATAAGAATGACGATTTCGGCAATAATTATTGCACCAATAATTATTGCATAAAGAACATGTAAAAATCGAAAGCCTTTTATTGCTCCACAACAACCTAGAAAAATTCAAAAATAATCAAAAAATGCAAAATTTATTTAGTTTATTTTTACCAAGAAATCCAATTATTATTAAAATACCACCAATAACCATTAATATAATAGTAAATATTTCAACATTTGAAAGATTTTGAGATTGTTTTGTTGCTGAATCTGGATTAAGTAATGGACGTAATTGTTGAACTTTAAGATCTCTAATAACATAAATACCAATTGCAAGTAATGTGATACCAACAACAATAAATGCCAGATTCAATACAATAATAATAAATCGAATAACTTTTATGCCGAACGGCATATTACCATGACCTTGTTCTGATGCCTTTTTTCACTTAAATTTGTGATAATGTCCTTCTAAATAGGCAAAGAGAAAATAAAAAATTAAGACAATGTGTTCGATGTTTAGTTATGTGTACATATTCATTACTTGATTTGTGTATTCAGCTTATAGACGTTTACTCGAATGAATGACGACGATATTGTAAGAAGAAAAAGATAATATTTTCTTTTTTTTTTCTTCTTTCTCTCTTTCTATTCAAAATATTCCTATTATTGACATCAATTGGTATAGAAATTCCTGAAGCATATCCAACAATACAGTCCTGGGCAAAAGTAACCGCCCCCCCCCCCCCAAACCGGTCGTATTTTTTTTATGATATGGGGCTGATATTTTGGATGTAGATTGATCTTAGTGAACCCTGATCGCAAGCACCAACCCGACCTTAATCGGTTGATATAGATTGCAGTTATCAGGTCAACAATATCATCAGATTGTGAAAGCCATATCTCAGTCATTTCTTGATCTTTGCGTTCACGCAACCCCTCACTTATGAGCCCACTTGTGTAGCTATCTGCAGTCAAAATTTGGTAAGAAACTACCTTGGAATAACGGAGATCTGGAGTTCACATTGAAAACTTTCACCAAGCAGTTAGCCATAGTTTCTAGTCTGACGTCAATAACTCAAGCTTAACTCAATCAATTCAGTTGAAAATTTCAGTAATAAGTTCTTATGAGTCCACAACTTTGTGGTAGAAATGTCAGAGCTGTATCTAAATGTAGAGCAAAGATAGAACCATCAGAATAGTTCATTACGCCACAGCTTGTCAATCGATGAAATCTCGTTATTTTGCGACGAGCTTTGGGCCAATGAAACTAGGTATCATGGGCTGCAATTAGCACCAAAAAAACCGAAAATAAATTGTAGCTGGACGAAACAGCAAACGAACATTTTCTTAGATCGTATTTGCCTTCGATTTCTTCAACACGCCACATACAATGCATCTATGCATGGGAAACTCTCGAATACTAATGAATTCGCTCTCATTTTTCAGGGAATGCTCATTTTTTATTGGAACACTTTAGAGTACGTATATATAGGGCTAATACAATTAACGAGAAGCTCTATGAAGCTGACAAAATTATTTTAAAGCCAAATTCTTCGTGGCATAGAAGTATCTTATGCATAGACACAATGTGTGTGGCGTGTTGAAGAAATCGAAGGCAAATACGATCTAAGAAAATGTTCGTTTGCTGTTTCGTCCAGCTACAATTTATTTTCGGTTTTTTTGGTGCTAATTGCAGCCCATGATACCTAGTTTCATTGGCCCAAAGCTCGTCGCAAAATAACGAGATTTCATCGATTGACAAGCTGTGGCGTAATGAACTATTCTGATGGTTCTATCTTTGCTCTACATTTAGATACAGCTCTGACATTTCTACCACAAAGTTGTGGACTCATAAGAACTTATTACTGAAATTTTCAACTGAATTGATTGAGTTAAGCTTGAGTTATTGACGTCAGACTAGAAACTATGGCTAACTGCTTGGTGAAAGTTTTCAATGTGAACTCCAGATCTCCGTTATTCCAAGGTAGTTTCTTACCAAATTTTGACTGCAGATAGCTACACAAGTGGGCTCATAAGTGAGGGGTTGCGTGAACGCAAAGATCAAGAAATGACTGAGATATGGCTTTCACAATCTGATGATATTGTTGACCTGATAACTGCAATCTATATCAACCGATTAAGGCCGGGTTGGTGCTTGCGATCAGGGTTCACTAAGATCAATCTACATCCAAAATATCAGCCCCATATCATAAGAAATAAGACCAGTTTACGGGGGGGGGGGGCGGTTACTGTTGTCCAGGACTGTATGTTGACATTGAATGAAATTATCTTTGTATTGATGATTAGTTCTTGACTAGATTCTTTTAAACATCTAATGCTAGAGAAACAAAAATATGCGTCGATTAAATCGTTTTTATTGAGAAAATTATATGGTACACTATACTTGTTTCGACTGAAAATTTAAAATCGAAACAACGATTGACCTTCCTACTGTCTCAAAATAATATAGGATTATATTTGTATTAGACAAAGTTTCATAAAATTATTGAATGTGCGTACAAGTATCAAATCAGATTTGACATTCTCTAATAAATAATTATGAATATTTCGCATATCTGATCAACAGTTATTTATTGAAATATCAGATTTTAAATGTTCGAAGATACATATTGTTAATCTACATATTTTAATGATTTCGATTATTTTTCTACATAGGCGTTTATATTTTATTGAATATTAGATTATACCTATATTTTGTCAATTAAAACAGTTTTATGAATATTGTGAATAATACACTAAAATACGATTTGTCTTGTTTCAATGAAAAAAGAAATAGAAAGATGATCGATTTTACCTTCAAAAGCATGTATTACTAATACATATAGAATTTAATCACAATCCAAAAGAGAAGTAAATCATTGTAAGTATATTTTCTAGTCGTGTTTGGAGAGCAAATACAACTGATTACTGTCATGTATCCTAACATTGGTCAAGTATTATTAATTATGTGTATGCTTACTTCGGTTGTCAAAATGCAAATAATAACTGACCTTTATCTTATAGTCTTTAACATTTTATCAATAGAGAAAAATTAATGATGACTTATGAAACATGCTAAATCAAAAGAGAGTGTGTTGGGTGGTGTGAGGTGTGGGTGGGTGTGGGTGTGGGTGTGGATGTGGGGTGGGGGTGTGGGTGTGCATGTGGATGTGAGTAGTTCTTCTTGATGCCGACACTCACACCCACACCCCACCCCACACCCACACCCATACCCACACCAACCCACACACCCACACCCAGCCACACTCACACTCACATCCACACCCACACCCACGCCCACCCACACCCACACCCACGCCCACCCACACCCACACCCCACACCATGATAGGTTGTTGAATATTGTAGCCATTGGTATTAGTCGAAAGTATTTGTAAAATATTGTTTCTCATATACGATTTTGTAGAGTTTTGACGGGTAACAACCTCATATGTGTCGCATCTCCGGGCATCGAGTCAGTATCAGTATGGGTGATTGTGGTTTTAGGTGTGTAGTCGTCTATCAATAAATTGACTCTATTTCTTTCAAAGCGTTATGAAAATATGATATAGTATATACCATTCGATGCGCCTCAAAAAAATCTACAACATAGTTAGTATATTTGTTTTGTCATTTTTAAGTAAATTGCCTTGTCTAATAACGTCCTTTCGACACCGTTCTAAGAACTTTTGGTCAACCCTAAATATAAATAGTTAAGCGTTATCATTCTTTACGGATAAAAAATATTTACGTGTGATTGATTTAAGTAAAACTTGACCAAGATATATTTTCATTCTTTTAAATAAAAAAATCAAAAGTTTTGTTTTTTGCTAGATTAAACAATCCGTTTCGACAAATATTTTATTTACACGTTTACAATTGAAAAAAGAAAAGAAATATTCATTTATCATCAGACTTCAGCAAACAATACCCTTTGTTCGATTTCATGGTGTTTAACAAGCGTTGTTTTAATTGTAACGACAAGCTAAGACATTAAAGTATCCTCGAGTACAAGACATTTATCTTTTATCACGAACAAAGTCTTTTTTATTAGGTAATTTCATGAACGACGATGGATTTAAATAATCTACAACTCAAAATGAAAATATTCTCTCGTAACAATCGAATGTAACTGACCATGTGTTGATGTTGTTGCTGATTGAATAACCATAGCTGAAACAGTGAATAAAACAGTCATAATGACCAAAATTTCACGATATATCGTTCGTAATTATGTAAATTTTTGTGTGATGGATAAACGATCAGACACTTGTATAGGTGTATAAGTTTTTGAGCAGAAAAAAATTTTCTCTGCGTCTCGTCATAACGAATGGGAACAATGCTCTACACATTCTTGCTGATGAATGAGTGAACGATTGAGAACAAACTTAGGTCATCTTTTCAGATGACTTAATTGTTATTCATGCGCTAATCATGCAACAGTTCGATTGAATCTTGAAAGATATATATGTGTATCGATAAATGAATGAAAGTCTCGCACCGTTTATTCGATATTAAAGCATCTCTGAGCAAATAAATGATTAAAAAAAATATTTCATTGCTCGAAAATCCACTGTATTCATATATTTTCTTTATAGCAGAAAGGCCATACTTAACTGTTATTAGCGATTTAAGTGTTATTATCTGTTCGAATACTGATTTTAAAAAAAATTGTGTTTTTTCTAATCTTTCTAAAACCTGAGAGATCAAAGTAAACACAATGCTGGCAAGATATCGTACTCTAAATATCAGATTGGAATTATTTAGCACAATATGATAGTCTATTAAATAGTTGTAGAGCTTTTGTTGCACGAATCTTAAAGTAATATTGACATATATGTGTAGGCGAGTTGCAACATTTTTAGATTTACCAGATCGATTGAAATGGTACGAAACGCGGTTCAGAAACGTTTTAATACAAAAAATATTTACATGAATTTTTTCTATAACTAGACTCACACCTAGAGACTCCATTCGTATTGAATGTTATTATTTCTTGATATTAATCGGCATAAATACAGCATCAGACAGATATTTTCAAGAAGGACACTGATGTTTGAAACTCTATTATCATCATTTCTACTTTTATATGAGCAATATAAAATAGCTAAAAGATTTCTACTCGGTCATTTCGTGTACAGTATAATAGTTTTATTGAAAAAAGATCCTTGATTACAACGTGCAAATTAAATGAGTATAAGTATTGAAAAAAACCAAAACATTTCCAGTTCGTATGCATGAATTTAAAATGGATTGATTGAAATAGTAGAATCATTGTAAATCGAACACTTCAGTGGCAGATCTCACAAATTCCATAAAACGTGACTCTTGACTTGCAAAATGTTTCCTAATTATTTCAAGAACTTGTTCGCGTGATAAATGGGCATAGTTTTCGCCTATAATGAAAATCACGAGAGTAGCTACTCTTTTAAATATTTTTTGTAATGTATTTATTACCCGTCGAAAACCGTATATTACGTTGAAGTTCCAATCGAAATTCATCGGCATTTCTCCCTCGTCGAATTCGTAATGGTGGCCCAGCATTTCCTGCATTTAATGCTGCCTCGATCGCTTCGCTAATTGATGCTGGAGTTAAACCTGGTATTAAAGGATACGTTGCTTGGCCTTTAATGCTGCTTCTTCTTTTATCTTCTGCCATGAAAATTTGATAATATAGAACCGAAGTGAATCTGCTAAATGCCAGTTGTGTATACAAACGCAACTCAGTCAAGAATATATATAGTCATTTTTAAGTGAATGGGATGAATCTTTTTGTGTTGGATTTTCCCATAATGAGACGAAAAATAATTGTCTTTCCATGATGGGAAAAATGCAGGATAAAAGATTTCTTTCATTTATTTCGGTAAGTGATGTATGTACATATATATAAATACGCAAATAATATTTTCAATACCCTGTTGATATCATGTATTTGTCTCAATATTAACAAATATCTCTGATTTTTCTCCTTTCAATCAATATTTGCTCGAGCTCTCGGCTATTGACGTATACTGCTTCTCATTACGACTTTGCATGATAGTTTGTGTAAAATTAAAAGGAGGGTGGTAGAAAGAAGCAGTACTATGGGTGTGAGTGTGGGTTTGGAGTGTGGGTGTGGGTGTGGGTGTGGGTGTGGGTGTGGGTGTG